TGTAGCTTCAACAATGTGAAATTCAACACCCACTGCAAATTCTGCCCGAAGATCAGCGCAGTTAATCTGCCCTAAGTTTCTGATGCTGTGACTAGAGGACTGGAAAGATTGAGCTGGCTCAGTTATTGCCAGCTGGGATACATCCATGTTGTAATGCATCCAAACTGTACCATGGTGAATCAGGGCCCTCAGAGTCCTGGGGAGTGGGATGGAAAATCCTTTTCTGGAGCCCAAAATAGGGCAGACTGAAGCTAAAGAAAACTCTTCCTTTAGCTCAGTGCTGCTGATACCACTGTAACAGCACTGAGTATCTGAAAGGAGGGATGTGGATCAAGGTATATTGCCGTCTTGTCTTCTCCTTGCACATCTGTTAGATGTTCTGATGTGAGCCATGGTAGGAGAGACAGGTACATGTATGGTAATTAAACAGAATATACTTAGTGCTGCTGCTTGGTATATATACCTGCAGTCTCTGTGGTGATTTCCCTGGCCCTGCAGTGGTGAAATGTATCCAGCCATACAGACTGCTCTTTGAGGACCTGCCAGCAGTTCATGGGCTTTCCTAGGTGCAGAATTGCATCTATGATTTTTGTAGATATAGCTGTTTTTCCCCCTATGACTTCTAATGTACCTTAAACATTAGTAAAAGGGTTTTTCTCTTTAGCTCTTATTTCTCTACTCTGTTGTGTATTTGTGAGGAAAAAATCAAGGCGACATTTTTTTCCTGGTTTCATTAAACAAAGAGGTTTCCTCACCTGCATACATGGAAATCACAAGTTCCATTGCAAATTTTGGGAAGGTAGAAACTCAGAGTCTCAAAGGTGTTTTTATTAAAAAGACATCTTTTTTTTTTCAAATAAAGTATCTTATCTGGAGGATATTTAGCTACTACTTTTTAAAACTGCTGTAGTTTATTAAAGTATTTTTCCTATGCTGAAAATTTGAATTTTATTTTTATCCATTTCATTTAGGAAGGTGAGAAACCATGAATATCTGTATTTTTTCTGTTTTATATCTTGGACTGAAAGCTGGTAAATATTTATGATGGTGGGAAGGATGCTTAGCCTTGTGATGTTCAGTGGCTGTTCCACAAACATATTGATTTTTGTCTTTCTCTTTGGAGAATATAAAGAGCATATGTGAACAGAAGACCAGCAAATACTGTAGAGAGATTTAGAAAGATTAATTCTCACTTTCTATCTGGAGATCATATGCATAACTATATTGAAACTGGACAATAGAAAATATGTGAATAAAAGAAAGTCTTTCTGTCTGACCTACATGCTGTCAATTACTCTTATTAATAAGTTAGTTAACATCTTGCCTATCCTCTTAAAATTTTTTCCCTCTACTGTATTCTTGGGGAAGTGCAGGAAGTGCACAATCAAAGCTTTGAATTTTTACCTTCAGCTTATCAGTCCAGTCAGGAGCACGCACAGTTAGTACCCTAGGTTTGCCTGCCTTGCTGAGTTAGGAATGTGGTCAAATATGTCTAAATTTAGTCCTGGTAAAGGACAGAGGGGGAAGGCATCCCAGTTCTGGAAAAGAAAAGCTGAGCCTGGGGACCATTAAGCATTTTGCTGAGGTAAGACATGAGAGTTGAATTAGGCTGAAGAGCTGCTCATTAGAAAAACCCCTAAATGTACAGTCTTCAAAACCGTGCCCTAGCGTAGCCTGCTCTTGCATCGTTTTGGTGCATCCTGGCCAGTCCCTTGCTTTGCACCTTGCCTCAGGGGTGGCCTGGCATGGATTGACGTGCCCTTCAGACCTCAGCTGCGGGGCCTGCTTCCCCCACAGCCCCGCTGGGCTGCAGAGCCCAGTGGGGCATCCCAGGGCGTGGGGCGGGCTCGGCATCTTCCGGCTGTTGTGGAAGTGACAGCCTTTGCCGTTAACTGTGTGCGTTTCAAGGTCCAGATTTCAATAAAGGCAGTGGCATAAAGCACTTTGGGTGTTTGAAAAACAAGGTAGTTGTAGAAGGGATGCAGGATTTTCTGGCTTCCTTCGGATTTAGTCTCCTGGATTATCTAGTTAATTTTATCGAATTGGCAGTGAGCCATTCTATCCCTCTCCCTGCTGACAAGCTGTAGGAAATACTGATTAGAAACAAAGATACTCCTTTGGCACATTGATATTGCCAGAGTGAAAATCTTAGTAGCCACTGTCCTTGGCTGGTACCTGTAAAAATAAAACAGAACAGCAAGGGATGTACGCTGATATTAGTGGCCCACTCATGCTATGTGCTACTGTGGCAAGAACTGTTTAATTTGAAATATCTGAAAAATGTTGCATCAATAGCAAATACATGGAGCAATGAAAGTGTATTAAAGGCTTGGCTGAAAACACAGTATTGGCTTGCTGGTAATGAATAAAAGAGCTATGTAATAGTTTCCCAGTTGTATGATGTAGTTCCTGCTCCCCACCTTTACGCACTTCCATTGCACTCTACCAGGGACTGCATCTCCTACTAGTTCCAATATTATAAATAGCTGAGGTGCTTCTATGAGCTGTTAAAATAAATTCACCTAACAAATAATGTGGAACCTCCGCTCTACCCCATTATCAAATCATCGTGGTCAGAGAAGCAGGCTGAGAGATGCTCATTTCTATGCCAGTGTCTAATTCAAAGTATAGTAGCTGTACCAAGCTAGTTACTAAAAGGAAAGGGAGATTTCTATAGCAGCTGTTTATAGCTGTGTGTCATTTTTAGAGTGGAAAAGAGTACAAAGCAAGAAAAAGCTAATATATTTACTGATGTTTTAATGAGCTGTGAACTTTTGTTTTCCTGTGAAGCCATATCTGTTGCAAACAAAACATTTAGGTTTAAGCTCAGACCGTTGTACGGAATACTCCCAGTGGAAAATATGAAGCATTTTGAAATAGTTTTATCTTTGTTTCCTGTAAAAGCTGTGGCATGCTGAAAATATGCTCTAATACAGCACAGTAGAAATACTTCTTTAACATCCTTTCCAGAAAAGCCTAAATCCTCTAACTCCTCTTTCAAGAATTTACTACTTCTGCAATATGTGACTGTCCTAGATGCATGTTGCGAGAGTCTCTGTGCCATGCCAAATTCTTATGTATATCCCATTGTATTGACTCATGCATTGAGGAAAAACTGGAAGGAAATCAAAGCAAGGGAAGCCTTGGAGTTGAATTCTTTTACACGATTCTTTGTGCACTTTTTTGTTGGAATGGAACAATATGGCTGGAAGATTGGAAGAATCAGAGATTAACTAAATTATGTGAACACACATTCAATGCTGATCACCTGATTACACTAAAACACTTAAAAGGTGGTTTGATAGCTGTCAAGTTGTTTTGCTATTGTGCAGCTTAACTGTTACCTTCCTGTATTATGAACATCTATGTATTTGAAAAATAAATCCATCTTGCAAGAAAGACTGTGCAAAAATTGTTCCTATTATACTCCAATGTATATTGCTGATGTCAAATAAAATACAATTGTGAGAGTTCTTAAACACTTTGTCTTTCTAATTGTGGCCTGAAGCAGGAAGAGGAAGAAGTATAGTAAACTTTGATGTGGATCATCCTGCAGTTAATGTTAGCACATCAATTTTAGGATGTTAGTATTAGCTTAGTGATTCAATCAACCTGATGCTGTATATGAGCAGATAAAGGGATGGATTTCGTCAGCAATATGATGAATGATAATCTCTTGTCTAATTTATTAAAATGGCACACCAGTCTACTGATGTGTTATTGTCAAGATGCTGATCACTACATTAATCAGCTAAAAGCTAAACAAATTACTTTGCCTCTCTGCCAGGAGCAGAAACAAATAATACACACAAAGGTGGTGCATGCTATATTCTCTTTTTACTTCCTATGAGATACTATAACATTGCTTCTTTCCTTACCTGCCTACAGACCAGTTGTGTCTGCTGCTCTACTTCAGTAGATGGACTAAATGCTTTGTCTGAGACTTTGTGTTTGGGCCTGATAAATCTTCAATGTGTTAAAAGGCAGCCACATGTTTGCAGTAACTGCATTTCAATAAGGATTGCAAAATCCCTGGTGATGTATATGTGTAGAGAGAGAGATGTATGGAGAAATCATTCCAATACGTGCAGTGGCCTGTGCAGGGCAGGGAGTTGTGCGCCCTCGTTTCTTTTGCTGACTGTGGTCAAGAACATCAAATCTTTTTGCAGGCTGAGAGTAGGGCTGTCAGAATGGCTTGCGGTGCTGTGAAGTGCTCTAGTTGCTGCTTGCTTCAGGCATATATATTGACACCAGCAAACTTGCTTTGTTTGACGACGACTAGTTCATAGATTTGAGAAATTCTGTGTCCCTTTCCCCTGGCTTCTCTGGGGATAGTTTTTAAGCCTAATACACAAACTAGTCATCTGTGCTGCTGCCACTTAATTCTGTATGGCATGATACACCAAACATCATATGTTTTATTGCACTCTGTGCCAATTTTTATTGCAGAAATGCTGCTTGTATTGCTTAGGCAGGAAATTCTGCTAAGGAAGATTCCCATTGACTCCAGTGGATCCTGGGCTAAGGTTTTATGCAAGTCAGAATTCTGGTGCGTGTTGGTAGAAAAGGAATTCAGTCTGTGGGTTGAAAGCAATTAGGAGCTTCATTCTGGGCTAGTGCAAAACACCTCCTACAATCATTATTCATAGCTGTGAATGTCTTCATGTGAAGGGCTTTAGTGTGACTAGCGTGAGCACTAGGATCCGCACTTGGTGGTTAAGAGTGAGACTTCTGTTCTAGATTTATCTTCTGTCTGATGTGAAGAAGCAAACTGAGCCTGCATTTGCTATGTGAGTGGTCTGACTACGAGCCTCTGAAAAATCTGGGATTGAGCTGGGAATGGGTACTCTCAATTCCTGTTAAAATGTTCTGTGTTTATATATAGCACTTAGTACTTCTCATGAGAGAATCACCACAACCCAAAACTTGACTGGGGAACTCAGATTCCAGTTCTTTGCCTGCAGCTCTTCTCTCTCCCTTTTTCTTCTTTTGTTCTGCAGGGCTCAAGTTTCACAGATATGTTCTGGGATCCTTTGTAGGAATGGCCTTGAAGAAGAGACGGGTAAGGATGCCATTATTTGAATAAAAAGTCCTGGTCTCCTCAGATGCTGAGTATCACTATGAATCTACTGAGCAGGCTATTATCTGTAAAGTGTTAAGGGTAAAATAAACTCAGCCTGTCAGATGGTCTGAGATAATCAGAGTAAAGTTGTCCAAGAAACTAGGTGGAAACCAGCCAGATGGCAGCTGTAGATATAAACAAAGATAGACCTGGGAATAGGCTGGATATGATCCAAGTGCTTTTAGTAGCCTATGCTACCAAGTGCCATGTCAGGCTGCGTCAGTCTGTATAGACACAGACAACCAGGCAGTTATATGACTTCACCTTGTGAGAGAGCATAGTTGAGTAAGGTTGAAGGAGAAGTACAAGATACAAAGCGAAGGGTAGTCCCACTGCATGTGACAGCGGGAAGGAACTGGTCACAACTTGATGATCTTAGGTGAGGGTACCTGGAAGGCAAATGCAGGAACTGAAATCTTAAAACAAGCGAGATTGAGAAAAATGATGTAACCTAGTTACATGAAACATTTGAAGACTCATTTTCTTGGAAAGTGGTAGTCTTTAAGAAGAGTAGAAGACTTTTCTGTATTGCTTACCTGGACTTGCTCATAAAAAACTTTGGAACTAGAATTACATTGTTTCACACCATCCCTTGGGGCAAGGAGTGTCACTAGTGAACTGGCAGGCATGAAACTGTTGGAATGGGATGCCAAAGGGATGGGAAATGTATCCAAGCTTATTCAGTGATATTTATTTCAATTTTGGCTATGTTTCTTATATGACTTTTTCTGCTTGGTCTATGGAGATTTTTACCTTTTGAATTGAGAAAATTCACCTCTAACTACAGAAAATCATTAAAAATGTATTGATGTATTCTCTTTTTCAGATGTCAAGAAGCTGAATAAAGAGCTACTCTCTCTCAACTGTTGTGTACAGTATTGAGAGCGTGCCAAAACCACACACAACTCTGGGCTCCCTGGCGTTGTATCTACTTTTTTTTTTTCTTTCGTGTCTTTGTTTTTTTTTTTTAAACTGATTACAGACTGAGTTACTTGTGACCTTTTCTTTACTAGGCTAATGGTTAGAGCGCTTGCCCATAAAAGGCCTCCAAAGAATCCTTTACAGTTGCATATTGATGTAAGTTCCTAGATGACATGAACCACTGTAACCAGTAGGCCATTTTAGAAAAGAAGAAGCCCTATGGGATCCTTTAAAGCATACTGGAAGATATATTGCTTCAGCAGCCCAACCAAGATCATGAATGCTTAAAGGTGCATGATTCAGTCACCTATGATCTGGAGAGGATTTTAGATACATTTTTCACAGCATTTCTGGAGGAACTTACACGCTCAGGGAGCCTTAGCACCAGGAGGTAACTTCATATGTTGAGTGCTGGATTTAGCCCTAAACACTGCTAAGATAATGGCTGATAATGCAGTTTATGGGCTTTTGCAATATGGGAACTGAACTCAAATTAAGAAGTAACTTCTACATTCAAGCTGTACGTGATATTAATGGGCACAGATCCAAATATAGGAAGATTAATTTTCCTCAGGGACATAACCGTCTTGTTAGCTCCACATCAGCTTTGTGGTGAAATGCTAGAGTGGTCCTGATACTTTGCTCAAGGTAAAGAAGTGAGACTTCCTCAGGGTGGAAGTAGCAAGTCAAAATAAATCAGACTGATTTTTTAAATGGGTCTGGGCCTGTATGAACAATTTTTGTTACTGCGATGCAGCAGCCTCTTTTTCACCACGCAGTTGACTTTGATTCCTTTATATTTTATTTTTAACCCCCTTAATAAGGTTCTTTTTTTTTATGGAAACCAATTGCATTTGTCAGACAGTTTGGGCTGGAAGTTGTGCTTGTGATTTTTCTAAATTTTTAGCTCCTCTAAACACAGCATTGCATCTTTGTTACTCGATTCAGTGATTCTCTGTGGGCTACAAAGCAGAGCAATGCCTTGGAGGCTCTGCTTCATTTGTTGAAAGCTGCAGGTTGAAGAGGTGGTATTCCTTGGGGCTGCAGAAGCAGGACCCCAGCCAGCATTCCTGGCCAGCATGTAGGAGGTGTTATGTGGTCTGCTTCCATGTTCTCCGTTTGGCTGCCAGCCTTTTTAAGAAGCTTTACTGCCTAAGAGTCACTGCAGATGGAATTAGCCCTGAACCCCCTTTTCGGTATGTTTAGCTTCAGCATAGAAGATTAAAATAAATACCACCTTTGAAGAGCGAGTATGATAAATTTTATCCAAGAATTCAGGGAAAGATTATAGCTGCTTGGAAATGTAGCTACTTCAAGGAAATTTTATATGTGCTGCTCTGCTTCTCTTACTGCAAGCCTCTTAAAGTGTGATTTTAAGAGCCTTGGATCTTATCAGCATTCTGTGCTTTGATATGGTGCCTCTTCCTGCAATGTCTGAAGGCTAGTATATTCAAATACTAACTGGTTTTGACTCCATCTAGCTCTGAATGGAAGCATTTGGTGAAGGGGAAGAAAAGGGAAATGCCAGGTTTTCTGCTGTGGTGTTGTAATTAACTGCAGACATGCAGAAGGTACTAGTGCTTCATAGCCTTCTTCGGAGCAGAGACCGAATTGCAAAGATACTAGCAAACTTGAAAGAGCAATTGGGTTCTTAAGTGAATTAGCCATTTGTTTTTAGTTTAACTGAGTTGCTGGGAGGCCGTGCAGCAGAAATTGTGGAACACTGAAAGATTTTGTATATCTCAAAACACTAATTCCTGACAGAAATGCTTAGCTTGGAAGCATAGGGATGCAGATTTTTTTTTAAAAGCCAGCTTCTGCCAGTTAATTGTAAACTTAAGCTCCCAGTGCTCTTTATGAATTTTACTTATTCCCTGAGAAAAAAAAAAGTTACAATTTTAGTTCACTTGCCTGTAACAAAATTAGTTGACTGCACCCTAGACAGATCCTTTACTCTTTCGTTAAGAGTCAGGTCAGTAAATGTTGTCCTTTTATCTGGTCTTTTATAAACTATTTAAGGTATTTGCAACTGGTTGCTAGATCATTTCAGATCCTCTGAGCCAGATTAATTAAGATGTCAATCTCAATGCTTTTGAATATGTTTAGCTATTGTTTGCTTTCACTGATATCAGACTTGGGACCAGCAGATCACTCTGTCTGTCACAGCTTTTTCAATCAGCTCTTCTATAATGTGTTTTATCTTGTCATTTTCATGTTGCTGTCAATGAGCTACATTCTAAAATATGAGGAATTAGACTTCTCTGGGCCACTAATGAGTAAAATCACATGAGCATAAATGGCCGTCAGTTTGCAATCACAAGTGTTGAGGTGGAGGGAAGAGGTTGGTGTTGCAGATTTTGTGAGATGTGTGCAAATACATGTGCTTTACTACTGAGAAAGGCTTGGAGAGAACAAAACTTCAATGGATTCTCTATCCAAGTCATATATGAGCAAAGGTGGCAAAGTGTAATTATTAGGCATATCAAAACCTAGACATCAAAACTTTTACTCATGTTCTGCATGTGCATTTTAAATACTCAGTAAGTGCTCCTAGTAGTCATTGAAGTGCTGTCTTAGAACAATGCAAAAGAACTGGATATAAACCCTCTCAGTAGGAGAAGAAAACTGTTGTAATCGGAGACAAAAATATAGAAGCTGTGCTGTAAACGTGAGACCTGCTTAGTTCTCTGAAAGAATCATTTAACGGCAAATCTCTGAAAGGTTTTGGCCTGGACGTAGCAAATGACAGAGAAGCCCTGCTGTAACCCTGAGTAAAGTGGAAAGGAGAGGTTGAGGAAAGATTTATGATATGTCCTCTTCTCAACATTTTCCTTTGAGCCACCTTGGGTTAGTCCCTCCATAGGGTCCTACTCTTTTCAATCCCTTTCTGAGACCCCAGAAGGAGGCCTCTAGCTCTCGCCTTAAACCTAGGATAATAAGCCAGTCTTGGCCTGGAGCCAGGCACTGGCCATCCCCACATTTAGATCCTGAAGTTCCTCACTGTGGTAGGGAAATGCAACATCTGATGCAGGAAACCTATAGCAGAGTTCAGACGTAAACTGAAGCAGATGTTATTTCACCTTAATACCATTGCAAAGGCCACTTTTTGTAGGGGAGGGGAGGAAAACAGGTGACAGAGAAGTAAATGTGGGCAGTGGATGCGAGGGGGAAAGCAATCATGTTCTCAGGCGATCTTAGCATTATTTGAATAATGTGCAAAACTACTTGTTTTCCATGGTACTTTAAGGGCTTGGGGCCACTGTTTTTATGGTTGTTTTTTTTTCCTTTGCAAGTATGTCATGGAATGAAAGTCTTGCTAACAAGTTTAAATTGGCTTAGGTAAAGACTCACACTGAATTCCAAGTTAAATCCTTAGCTTAGGTATCGAGCGTCTGTCCCAGCCCACGCTGTGATCCGATTGTTCAATTAACTAAGCAGAAACGGTATGTGACAGAGATGGGTTACAAGTACTCAAAGCAAGTGCTGAGGGTATGAGTCTCAGCGTTCCCTTGGGTGAAATGGGCTTGTTGTTTTATGCAGTCTGACTACCGTTACCTTGTACACATGAAAGTTAAATTCATTGAATAGAGTGTTACATACTGTGAGTATCTTTTATTTCTGTTATCACAGGAGCAGGGTGTGCTAAATTGAGCAAATTGACCAAATCATTACTTAATCATGTGTTTAATTCCTTGTTATGGATTTTCCCCAGGAGTAGTGGTTATGCCCTTTCAAATACATTGCTGTTGTATTTTCCTGTAACTATTTATTCCTTCTTTTTCACTATTCAGTTGATACATGTTACATTATTATATTTAAATTGAGCTGAGCTTACAAGTAGTCAGGTCAGGCTAAAAATAATGTTGCATTATGTAATTGATATGTTTGTTAAAATAATTTTTTAGGGAAACTTGTATGAAGTGTTTTGCAAGTCATGAAGAAATGAGAGAAGTACAGGAGAGTGCCTACTTCATCTGCGTTAGAGCTACAAATCCTTACAGTGGCCAAAACATAGTGGTCAAAAAACACCTAGTTTAATCTCAAATACTATTTTTTCAGTTAGGCTTTGTCCCATGTACTGTTTCTATTTCTCCATTCTCCCTGTCCTGTGATGTCCACTGTTCCTCTCAGATCTCTCTTTATAACTAATTCCCTCAACTAACCTAATAATTGACTTCAATGGGACGTGAGGGCATGCTCAAGGGCTCTCCTGAACAAGGATGCTCTAGTTAATCAGGATTGAAATTATCTGTAGAGCAAATAACATTTATGAGGAATTTTATGAGTTACAAATAAATGCAAGAACAATTTGTTGATGTTCATTCTGTCACAAATAACTTTATTCATAGATTGTTCAATCAGCTAGATGAACCTCCCTCATACCTGGTGTGGAAATAACACTATTTACATATTCATTTAGGAGCTTTTGTTGGCATGCCCCAGTGCAGTAATTATACTCTGCAAACCAGTGTTGAACACTGAAACAAAGATACGGTTTTATTCTTTTCTTAGTCTCAATGCTTTTGGTTCTTTTTGACTATCTCTGTACTAGAAAATTAAACATCGAAACTAGTCGCTAGAGTGGTTTTGGCCTGCACTAGCTAGCCAGGGGGTTTCCGGACACAGTTTAGGAGTTTTTGATGGGAGCATTCTCAATATATAGTCTGTGTGCACCTCTCCTCACTGGAAGGTAATGAAATTTAATGGTGTTATTCAGATCTGTGCCAGCTGGCCTCAGCAGCAGAAAAAGGTGCTGGGCAGGTTTAGCCTAGCAGTGTAGGTTCACCAAACTGTAGTGGGGTAAACAAAAGTCCTTATGTTCCTTAAAGTAAAGGACTGTAATTTTGTCTGTTCACTAAGCAGGTGCCACAAAGGAGCTTTTTTGAGTTGAATTGCAAATGTATGGAAGGGTCCTACAGACTCCTTTACTAAAAAGAGACTTTTTAAAAAAATACTTGCACAGGAATTCCCCACAGGGTAGCTGAAAGTCAAATGTAACTACCATTAGAGGCACTGTTGTATGCCATTAATACCTGGTTTTTTTTTTTTTCAAAATGGACTGACATATATTACTACAGTTTGGTCCTTTTTAAAGGCTTTTTGTTGTCTAGACAATAACCCTCACACATTCCCTCAATTTGAGATAAAAGCCATTTATTATCTCAGACATCACATGTAAGTGATCTTGCTAGTGCCATCACATATGCACTTCACAGCCTGTGACTGCATCCAAGCAGTGGCATACACATAAATCACCTGAGACATAGCATAATTTATTCCACCTAGACTAAGTTACAGTGATAGCTCCATGAATCTTCAAGCACATGGCTGAAGCACCTCTATTTTAGAGAGACTCTGAACTTCTTACAGCCTTCCAGGTGTTCCCAGGCAATCCTTCCAGCCCTTGTGTGCAGATGGCTAATTTCACTGCCAGTCTTTCAGCAGGTCAGTTGAGTCCGCTTCATTGTCAGTAAACATAAGGGAAGCACTGGAGTTGTTTGGGAACTGAAATGTTTCACAGACTGTGATTTCACCAAGAAAGATGTCATCAAAAATTAAATTATTACAAATATTCATTTTAAGTGATAGTGTTTGGTTTTATTCTTGCTAAAAAGTTGGGTTTGCCAAACAAAGACACAGACTGAAAAATAAATCTCTAAAATGGCCACATCAACAAGAACAAGCTTTTCAAAATTTCTGTGAAAATACTGTCAATTTTGTCCAGTTCTGATGCAAAAGGACAGATGAGCAAAACAGCCAATGGATGGGGATGTGCAAGCCCTGTTTTAATAAACTTTGGTTACTTATTCTAATAACAGAATTTTAAGTGAGGGATTGCATCAGCTTGCAGACTTACAGATCTAATACTGGTGATAGAGAAGGATAACCTTCAAAATGTAAGAAAAGGAAGATGTCTGAATTGAGCACAAGTCTTGTTGTGCTCTGCAGTCACCTTTGATTAGGTCAAGGAATGTAATTATTTAACCCTGTATACTTTTTGTGACTTGTAGAGTACTGATTTTTTTTTTAAGCCTCTACATGGCTGTGCTTGTTTATTGAATGTTCTGGCACTGACCGCTCCTGAGCCTATGTTTAGACACATAAGCAGTGACTTTAAACAGAAGTGTATGCCTCATATGCTTGGCTGAATCAAAACTCAGATAAATGTGAGACTAAGCTTGTACAAACAACACACATTTATAGATCAGTTGCCAGACTTTTGAACTGCCTGATACTATCCAATATAAAAGTATTGATATTTGCACAGCTTTATAGTTAGACACTAACTCCATGGAAGTATCAAGCATGAACCTCTGTTGGTTTTAGGAGGAATTAGGTGTTTGTAGATCTGGCCTGATGAATAGATCTAGAATATCCAGTGTACAGGATACTGCAGCTATCAACCCTAGATGTTAATAACAGAAGCAAATTTAAATTTGGAGGAGGTAAGGACTGATAAACCATAGGATAGCGTTCTGTTTAAAGATTGCATCCTTAAGTGAGGCTGGAAAAAATAATTAATCAGCTTTTATAGCAAAGATATTTACAACAGAGAAATGGAGTATCTTGGTAAGTCAAATTTTTGGGGACGTTTGTATATACAACACAAAATTGGAGAAAAGGAACTTAAAAATCATGTAATGTCAAGATGTGTGATAGATACGACATGATAAAGTGTGGTTATAAGAGTGACCTCAGCTGGAGCTAACGTTTCCTAATCTGAACTGAATAGCAAGCATAGCCTAACTTACTGTTGCAGCATGTTGAAAGATACATTGGTTTCCATCTGGGAAGCTGCAGTGGTGGCACTTTTTTAAAGATTTCCTTCTAACAAGAAGCAATTTTGCAGCCTCAACTATGGTGGAAATTATCAATGTGAAACACTGCTTTACCTTTACTTAAATGATATATTATGCAAACTGAAAACCACAATTTAAGGAAACAATTAAAATCAGCTTTTCCCATCCTTGAATGGGAAGTGTTAAGGAAAAAAAAATCAACCCTGAAGACTGTTGACTTCAAGCTGTTAAAGGAAAAAAGCTCTTTACCTTCCTCTATTTCAGGACTTCCTGAATTAGCATTTGCCAATAAAGACATGCCTTGTATAGGATCCTTAATATGAGGCCCATATAAAGCTCAGAACAAGTAATTAATGTTATACTCTTACTGAAAACCTTTGTGAAGATGGTCAGTACTATTGAAGAGGTAAAGCCAATAGTGAACAAATTACTTCCGAGCTGAACTGAAAGCAGACTCTTACTTTGACCAAAAGCGCTACACCTGCTTTACGTTTATCAGCTTCTGTGCAATGCAGAGCTCCAAGATAAATGAGTTTTCTGCTTGAAGGAGGCATTGGAGATACTGATACTGCTGGGATTGCACAGGCCTTTCCTCTCTCTTCCTTGAGGAAGCCTCTCTGCACATTATACAAAGCTGTCACCTAAATCAGGCTCTGTTCTTTCTGAGCAGAAAAGTTTGGAAGATAGGTGAAAGTGGAACATAGGCAAAAGCCACTCAGTTTCAAGAAAGTAGTACCTTGTCTGAGACATATTTCTTTTTGCCTCAGGATTTTAAACATCCTGAGGAATGGATATTTTGGAATCTACGTGGCTTGGAAGCAGCCGGGGCCTCAAGAATGCTCCTTATGTTTTTCCATACCGATTTATTAATCTCAAACTTTAAAACTCAGAAGATGGCAAGTGCTTCTACAGTTGAGAAAATAGGGGCATCACAGGTGGTGACAATACTATGCCCCACTTCAGGAACACGTTGTATGCAATCATCCATCTTCATTGTGTATTTTGGTAATTTTAAGCATATGTTTATATCATGTTCCCTTCATATGCTTTCTTGATCATCTGTACATTGAAGATTAGCTTTTGGTCTTCTACTTTTTAACTAGCAACTCAAAATCATGGGTTGGCATTCATGCAAAGAAGGATATGTTTGACATCTGGAAAAACCTGCTAGCTGGAATTGTATTGCAACATAGCAATGTCTAGGGACTTCTTGGAATCTTTGTCGTTGCCTGTTCTGTATCAGATATACTCTCGTGCTGCTGTTCCTGCCTGGGATATGAGCCTGGATTAAGTGATGTCTTAAGGGCCATCCTTGAGGAAAATCAGGTGTATTTCCTCTATTCAGAAAAAAAGTAAATCAAGTGAAAGTTTTTTATTATTTTGATTCATATTTTTGTGAATACAACTTCCTGTGTTTTCTTATGAGTTTCTTTATTGTGAGGTCTCCTGCTACTATGTCTTGAACACGCAGTGTGACTTGGTGACTGGCAGTTTATATGCCTAGCCTTTTTTTCTGATTCTATTTAGACTCTGTGTCTGTCTATTCAGTTTACTGATCAATTAACTGAAGTTGTGTGTTACTATCAAAAATGAACACCAATGATATGAATGTTTGGGGGTGGGGTGTAAACCTGGGCTCTGTCAGCTTAAGACAGTGGAGTCAAGGCTGTTAATCAACTCCTGTTATCGCTTAATCCTTCCTGCATAATGGGATAGGGGACAAGAAGAGGAAATTGGGTGCATTGGTATCCTGTGTTCTAGGAAATATTTTTAACTGCCGAACTAAGAATGCATGTCTTTGTTTAGGATTGTGTTTCTTATTTAAGACTTATTATTTAGGGTTGTTTTTATGTTGGCTTTATTTAGGGCTGGGTACCAAATCCTCTTTAATAGACACTGACAGTAGAGTTTATGAGATAGTTGTTTGCATATAATCATCTGGTCTTTGGGCTGCCCTCTGTTTACTAAAATTATAATTCACTGTGTCTCCCACTGGACATAAATTTGTATAGAGAGGTACGGCCGTAAGCACTGAAAACATGGTAAAAGAGCTGGTAATAAAAAATGTCTTTGGATTGAATTAACATACATCAGTTCTCTTTAAATTTTGTGAGAACAAAAGTGTGTCTATAATTAAGATGTTCAATTTGCAGACTAAACTGTGAGGCACAATGGGTGAAGAAAACTGAGCTGAAGACAAATTGAAGTAAGACACTCAGAAATTTACATGAAGATGACACCTCGAATTTCTTTAACAAAAGAAAAGGAAGGATCAGGAACTTGGGATCCAAAATATTGTAGAAAAGGTCTCCAAATCTTTTTAAGTGAATAAACCTCCCAAAAAGGATTTGGGAAGTACAAAGCATGCCTTCCAACAATCCAAGAAGGGCTGAGTATTTAAGGTAAAATATACCTTGGAGGTCAGAAAGTGAGTGGATAATGGGAATCATAAGTAGTCCAACTGAGTTAGACATTCAAAGGGAATTAAAACAAATGGTGAAAGATTTTTTTGCTCAGTAAATAAGGGATAATGACCTTTTACATACTATGTTAAAATAGTATGAAGAAGGAGAAATAATACAGGGAAATAACAGAGCAAGACAATTGTGCTGAAATAATATACAAGTGTATGAGTGAAGTCATGAGGACAGAATATCTACCCATGAGCAAGAATTGCAGATAAGTTTATTACTGATAAAGAAATGTAGTTTCTTAATTAGAAGACCTCAGTATAAGTTTAATTGATGAAAGTCAAAACTTGTGGGTCCTGATAGTGGAGAAAGTATAATTTGGATGCTGTGATAGCGTTGTGAAACAAGAAGCAAGCAATGTGGCTTCATGGAGAGCTGTGCAAACTTGGAGGGAGGACTGTCCGCCACAGGTAGAAAATGAAGAAGACATTTGCAAGAATGATAAAGGCACCACTAAAACTGGCATAGAAAGTAATAGAAAAATAATGAATTGAATGGGCTGAAACTAATCAGTTGTTAAAAGGATCTTCTAACTGGACAAGGGTAAAAAGGAAAGGAAATGAGAAAAAAGGTCCATTAATTTTTAAGAAACTAATGACTCAGAAAAATAGCTGAGAATTCAGGATCTCTAAAAAAAAAAAAAAAAAAAAAAAAAAAAAAAAAAAAAAAAAGAAAAAAAAAGAAAATGAGGATGTTGAACTCCATAAAAACAGCTCTTGATTAAAATCAGCTTTTCTTATTTCTCTGTTTCAAAGAGAAAAATGGGGATATAAAATAGTCAACAAATGAGAACACAAATAAATAATTTTCAAAGTAGCTTAGAGGCTATAAGCAATAAAATGACTGAGGCATATCTGTTTGGATTTGAATGGGCGGATATTGCTGCTTGTATGTGTACCACCTCTGATTGAGAAGCTCTGTAATTGCACCAGGATCATGTACCTGAGCTAAAAAGCTCTGCTGGGACACGAGCTGCACGTTGAAAAGGTGATATGTTATTGGAAAGCTTCCCTCTGGCACTTGCAATTCAAAGTAACATCCACTGTGTGTCTGATCCAGACTGATTTACGCAGACTCTGAGGCCTATTTGAAACAGCCTACTTTCAAGATTTGGGTGGAAGAATGCCTAATGTTGATATCCTCTTGAGACTTACACAGGCCAAGGCAGACAAGCGCAAGAGCAGAACACTGCCAAATGAGGATTTTGGGTAGTGCCAAAGGGATTTGAGCACCTTCAGGTTTAGAGGGTTGCTGAATGTTATTATGTTGGTAAAATTGTGTTAAGTAAGTTCTGCTCTGGGGTCTACCTGCTATTTGGTACATCTAACCTTTAGTTCACCATCTCAGTCAAGCTTGGTGAGGTAAACATAAAAAGAGAGTTTACAATCTGTTCACTACTCCTCTCATTTTGGTTTTACACTGTTTACCTTCTCTGCTTTCTTCTATAACCAGCTATTCCTCATTCCTAATTTTCTGTACTATGCAACAATTTTACCTTCTGCTGTTCCAGTTCTTCCTCTTTTTTGCACTGTGCATGTCTGTCAGTAACTGGTGCATATTTCTAGTGCCCTTATCAGTCTGCTCTCTCTTTCTTCCCTTTCTCCTTGCCATATTCCCCCATAGTCTAGTGAGATGTAAGCGGATGGTAGAAATCTTTGTGCTCCTTTGTTTGAAGCACCTCAGCATAGTTCTTCACTTTTTCTTTCTGCCTGACAATTACATTCATTGCTTTGTCATCCCAGTCAGTGGGAGGAGAAGAACTAACAACATCCTGGAATCGCTTTTGAAAACACGCACCGGATACCTTTCACTGAATGCTCATTGCTTTCTGTCACGATGTTCAGAGCAAACATCTACTGCAATGCAGCTGTTTGAGCTCTGCCTGAACTTGTTACTATTTTTGTTCGCAGTTCAATATATTTTCTTAAACCTCTTTTTGTAGACTAAGATACATACCACAAGCTGATAGCTTTTCAAGGAAAAGCATAATCCTTAGCAGTTTCCTGCCTTGGCAAACATGTGTATGCTTCTCAGTGTATCAACAGGCAGTTGTTCAAATGGTGTTTGCTACCTTAGTTTTGTATTAGTTTGGCCCAACACTTGAATAATCCTTTCATTTGCTTCCACTTAAGGAGGTGGTATGAATATTGCAAAGGGTGAATTTGACAATTGTGGATCAGTGCAGTCTCAGGTCAGATGACTTATGGCAACTCAACCTTTTATGCTCTGTTAGGATTATATTAGAATATTAGTATTTCCAGGACCAGGATCATGCAGTTGACACTACTCACGTGAGCAATCCCATTGTTGCCAAAACCAGCTGTTGGTGTCCTAGAGAGCGAGTCCTTTGCCTATTCTTGTTACCTCTTATTTCCTCTTCTCCTACCACAGTGCATTCCTACCTTGGTACAACAGCTTATCTCCCTGTCCTCAGGAGAAAAGCTACCACTCTACTGTGTTTTCCCCGATCAAGATGTTTTCAAATTAAAGCCATCCAGTTATATGCACACTCAGTGCCAAATCTGTAATCATCCTTCAAAACTGCAGTTTATTCTATAATTAACTTCTAACTCTGTAGCTCATACAATGTGTGAGACATCCAGTTCTTCATGTAAAATGGTCTACTGAGCTGTGAATGGTTTAAAATATTTTTATTTCGGAATGTATTTTATTTTATCATTACAAGAGTTAGAGAATAAATGTTAAGTGCTTTTCATGTCTCGGCTGAGTTGCAGAGACTGAAGATTAGAGTTCTGTATATCTTTTCAACAGATGAGACCTGCTACAACAGAGCTTTTCATATCATGTCAGGAACAGTTTTTCTGAAACAAGGTAGCTGTTATTGCGCTTAAAATACTTTGATAGTATGATTATAAATATTTAGTGTAGTCTGGCTTAGAACGATTACTTATCTGATACCTGGACTTCTTCCATTCAGTTATCTGCTAGTGATGAGGGATACCATTTGAATCTTTCTCAGCACGAAAGTAAATATTGCAATTTTACCAAGTATTGTAATACTAGTATACCTTTTTTGACCCTTGTCTATGTGGTGTTAGATGACTGTGGGTCTCCCCTCCCTCCCTCCTACACTAATATGTCATCTGCAGCTGATCAGATCTTGCTGGAAACTAAGACTTTACCCTAAGGACTTCACCTCAAGATGCAGTGCAAGGTCCTGGCATACTCGATCCTTTCCTTCTCTAAGGTATATTTTCTTCTATTTCTTTCTCGCTAATTCTTTCATCCAGCCCCGCTGGGGGATCAGTCATGCTCTCTGCTGACTTTTGGCATTGTCCTGGGGAGAGGGCAGGGAGGTGCAGGTCAGGAAAGGAGAAAATGTGTATAGCTCACAAAGTGTATGGGTTCTTTACAGTATTACACAGGCAGATGATCCTGCTGGCCAGCATAAAGAAGCACAGGTGAAACAGCTCACAGGCTTCCTCTTCAAGTGGACGAGGAGCTTGGAGAGGGAAGAGATATTTCTGGGTTTTGTTTTTTGGGGGGGTATTTTTGGAGACGGGTGAATAAAACCAATGGAGGCTATTTATTTAAAAGAGACCGTGTACACTCTCCTAAAGAAAGGGAAACGGTTTTCTTGTGCTGATATTAACTAAGTGGAGTTGATCTGATCCTCTGCTTTTGTTGGAAAGTGAGACAATTGGCAATTTTTAATTTAAATAGCCGTGGTGCTCACTGAGTTGACTGGTGGGAGGCGTGGAGAAAACATGCCTGCTCCCATCGCATTTCTTTCCTGGCTGTCACAATAGGCCACGTAGCTGGCACTATCCCACCTGTGGGGAGATATGTGGGGAAAGGACAGGAGGAGGGACAGCCTGGGCCAGGAGGCTCAGATAACCGAAGTCTGTTATAATAGAGATGCCAGTAGTATGCCTAATAACTTTGAAGTAACTGCTCTCAACCCTGTGATAGTAGCATGTCACCTCACTCTTGAGCATGGCTATTTTGATAGCCTCGATTGAGTTTGTAAAGCTCTGGTATAATAAAGAGCACAAACATCTTGTTTGTCTTTTTGTTTTTCCCTTAGTATTCACAGTTTGCTCTGGGCACTTGCAGTATTTAGGAAGAATATCAGTCTGATTTGTTGCCTGCAAGAGAGTCTAATTAAAATGAGAGAGCAGGATGGGAAGTGATGACACACAGTGCAGCTGAGCTGCTCCCAATGCTAAACATGGCAGCTGTGGTTTTCGTCATTTGCAAAGCTTCAGCCAACACGTCGGCCCACAGAGTTAAAATAAATGTCTAATTACGTTGTTCAATTATTTTGGTTCCAAATTCATGGTACAAAGTATTGCAGAAGGTAGGAGAGAAACACTGAGAGAGCCATGATCATGACTGTGGCCTGCCAATAAATCAGAAATCACTATGCTTTTTCTTGGTCAGATTCCTCCCTTCGCTCTGCCCAGCATTAAGGCTCTAAATGAAAGGTGTGTGTGTCTGAACCAGGCTGCGAGCCCTTTCCTTCCCATGTCGTTCTCAAGAGTGACTCAGAGCACTGCTTTTCTCACGATGTAAATTAGCTGCAGAGCAGTGAAGTATTGCAAATGCTAACAGAAAAGACAGAAAAAGACTTCAAGACATTTATCAGTTCCTTTTTAAAAATCATATTATAAATATTATAAAAGAAATACCTAATCACAGCTGCCCTGATCCAGCAATTTGTTGTGTGTGGGGAGACGTTGTTCTGTCAGCCGTGGGATTTGCTAGGGCGGGAGGGTATTAATTCAGCTTTGCTTTCCATGGCATAAGTATTCAGTGGGCCAAGGAGAGGGAGCGTATGTGAACGACTTCATTAAGCCTAGTGACTAAATGTGGACAGGATGGTACCGATATGCCAGGTAGAGTAAAATAGCTACAGCATGAAAGATTGAGATCCTTGCATCAGAGCAGCCTCTTGGGAAGTGAAGCACATGAAGTTAAAGTCTGCTTTGGGGCACAGGGAGGGAGTGGACCCTTTCTCACCCACAGCCGAAGGAAATGCTCTAGTTTGGAGTGACAAGGACAATTTGGTGCTTCAGTCTCTTTGTAGCTCTAGCCCATATTCACAAAATTATTTGCCAGTAGAGAGATGAATACTGTCTTGATTAATGGATTCATTCTGTTTGTACAAATGGTGTATATTAGTTAAGCTCTTTCCGAATCAACTGTTTCATGATTGTTCATAAACATCATCATTACAAACAGCACTGGAAATGAGGTGACTTTACACACGACTGGTTCCCACTGATCATAAACATTTATTTAAGCATTGATACATTACCACTTTTATGTATTATTCTTCTTTAGTTATCTACCATTCTTCAAATAGCTCAAGAGAAAATGGAATGTTGAAAACACTGTCAAAAAAGTAGGAAAACATTTCTTTATGAAAAATATTTCTTGTTTTCAAGTAAGTATACTTGTCATCTCCTTTCCTTATGCTGAAGAACTTCATGTC